ACTTTCAGTCAGATAATCAGATTATTCTTTCAGGCCGTACAGCAGAGACAGATGACAGTTTGTCCGACCTTTTTTTTATTGCAGCAAGGTGATGAAGGAAATTTAAGCAATGCATTTGCTGCTGAAATGCAGAACTTTCCTGATATCAGGTGCTTTATGAGCTTACGTTTCCTGAAAGTGCTTATCTATTCTATCGATTTTTATTTGCAAAGCTGCAAGTAGTGAAGTACTCCCTCCGTTCCAAATTACTCGTCGCAGAAATGGATGTATCTAGAACTAAAATACATCTAGATACACCCATACCTGCGACAAGTAATTCGGAACGGAGGGAGTAGTACTTACTATCTCCTAGGGATTATGTGTCACATAGCATTCATTTGTTCTATGCTAATAATGTTGTCCTTTTCTAACAGGTATGTGCACTTTGATTTCCATCATATTTGTCGCGGAGGGAACTTTGATAACTTGCAAGTTCTCTATGATGAAATTGAGGAAGCTATTCAGAAACAAGGGTAATTTCTGAATAACGAATATTCCACTCTTTATTTTTCCTAATAATACCACTTTAGTATCCATTTCAACCACTCAAGTTTAACTGTGGCAAGTAATTTGCTCTTGATTCATCTCTGGGCCAGCGGAGTAGATATTTCCTTATGAACTCTAAAGGAGAGATATTGTTGGACCAAAGTGGCGTCGTTAGGTCCAACTGCATAGATTGCCTGGACCGCACAAATGTGACACAGGTCTGTTCACCTTATTTATCAGATCCAGTTTGATAAACATTTTTTTTTTCAAAATTGTTAACTTATTTGCATTATGTTTTCATTGAAACACAAAGTTAACAGTTTGTAACCGTACGCGCACTTTCCTAACTGAGTAGGTGGATTTGCAACCTTGTGCTCCTAGCACTGTACCCTGCAAAACTTTTCGCTCTAGTTAAGTTGAGTGTCTAGATCATTATGCCACCATTACAGTTGTATAACAGACAGTTCTCGATTGCAAAGATCAAAGAGCAGCCTAATTTCTTGTAATTATTTACATATTAGTTAGACATTACTCCCTCCGTTCCACAATGTAGTGCATATAGATTTAAAAAAAAGTTAAACCTCGCAAATTTTGACCATGTGGACGAAAACATTTACATCTAGAATGCCAATCATATATCATTAGATTCATCATAAGATGTAGTTTCATATTTTATATATTTGGTATTATAGATATAAATAGGTTTATCTATAAACTTGGTCAAAGTTTGCACAGTTTGACTTTTCAAAAAATCTATACGCACTACATTATGGAACGGAGGGAGTAATATAAGGTATTAACTAGAAAATGTACATTGCTGTGGGATGTGTAGCACAAAATTCTTATGAATACAATCTTTGTGGGAGTCGAGAAGCTAGTAAGCAACAATTTCTTCAAGGGGGCAGCTGGGTTGGAGCATGCGGATGACATGGACTCATGTGAATGCACTTAGTGGATATTCACAGGATATATGAATGGGTATGTCCCATTGGCATTCCCCTGAACACCAGCTCTGACTCTGATCATCTTGAGATGCAAAGATTCACTTCCACAATCGTTTCTTCATGGTGGCTTTGTCCTTGTTGCCTGGAACATCTAGAAGCAACGAAATGCTACGATCTTTGACAATGTTAGCCCTTGTAACCTAACCTCTTGGTCTGGGTTTGGCAATTTTGCTCTCAGGCTTCATGCAGCCCTGTATTTCCAAAAGGGCAAAAAACACATTTTGAAGTTTAAAAGCTTTTTTTCCCACAGATATATCTGCAAAATCTTATTGAGAAATGCATTAGTTTTTAAGCTGCATAGAAAAGACAAATTTGTGGATCCATAAAAGCAAATAGTAACTCTATTTTTTAATCCACATATTTGTCTTTTTTGCGTACATCACAACTGAAAAGATATACTAATGAAAATTTATACTTACACACTACACATCTATATATAGATGTAAAACAAATTTCGGTATTTTGAGGTTTTAAAATACTGTATTTGTTTTAAAGAAAGGGGATCCATGTAGCCATGGCTCTATTTCGCTTTTTTGCTTGATCTCTCCTCGTCAAGAAGGATCTCCTTCTCTTACCTTTCTTAATGAGTGAGGAGCTTGCAGCTTCTCTCTGAGCCTGGAGTAGCTCCCTTGTTTAAGCTCTGTAGCCCCCTCCTCTCATCTGTGTTTGTACAGCCCCCTCAGCATTGTTAATATCTCTTTAATGTAAATATTTTTTAATAGTAAATAAAAGTTACTGCCGGAGCCTCCCCTACAGGTTTCCATTAAAAAACCATAATATAGTTCTGACTTGGTTCGGCCTTAGTTCCTTGAAGCAACTATACTCCCTTGCGACTATATTGAGGTTGCAGCTGAATGAACAGTAACCTTGACTAAAATACAATAGGAAGGTCTAAATATTCATGTGATTGATATCACATTATTTTGATTGACAGACTTAGTTTTTCGTGATTCAGACCTTGCTACTTTTAATTGTCTGATGAACACCTTGCTGAATCATTTCATATCGTCATGGTGAATTCTTTTTGAGTGCTGCTTTCCAGAGTTTCCTTGCAAGAAAATCTTTGGACTCACAGCTGCAGCGAATGGGGGCATTATCATCAGCTGAAAGTATCTCTCAATCTGATAGCATTAACGATAAATTTAAAAAATGTAAGGTATGGTGATGTTTAGTATGGTGCTTTAGACAGTTTTACATGTATCGTATTCATGCTTAATACATGCTTGGCAGTGTGGGTTGAGCATGGTGATGAGCTAAGCCTTGAATATGCTGGTTCTTATGCCTTAAAGGGAGACCTTGTAAGGTAATTTCTAGCATATCTTGCTACATCAATCTTCCTGAATCAACCTTGTTATGTGCATATCGTCCAGTTCTTGACAACTCAAATAACACAGGTATGGAAGGCAGACATTGCCTGGATTGATTAAAGATGGCATGAGCGCTCTTTCCCGGTATTATTTGAACAATTTTCATGATGGAGTGCGACAAGTAAGTTGTCAACGTATGGTCGTTTGTGATGTTCCACACGAACTATCTTGCATTCCCACCTAATATTTGCTATCATTAATAGATGTCCTACTTTTATCAGAAAATAATTGTTTTTAGGTATGTTTCTTTCAGTTAGCTTTTGATACAGTTTGTTCGTTGCTAGATTATAACTTGCCCCCGCGCTTCATGCTAGATTATCACTTGTAACACCTGTTCTTAGTACTGGAGTTTATATTTTACAAAGTTGTGCTAATTGTATGGTTCTTCTGAAACCAAAATTTCAACTCTAGGATGCTCTAGATCTTATCAGTGGTTACTACACGGTCAGCAAAAGCAGTTCTTCTCCTTTTCAAATCATTGGATTTGAATCTGCACCAGTAAGCAGCCTTGTCCATCTTCTCTGCCTTAGTGTGGTTCCTCTCATTTATAGATGGCTTTCGCAACTCTTCCTATTCTTCAACCAACCACTATAGTCAGCATTAACCATGCAATCGAATCTGACATAAGTTTTGCATTTGCTGGGAAAAAGTATCTTCCTGTGGCGTCGGCAATCATAGTTGGTGGGATCACTGTCACAACTTTCACTCTTAGTCAAGGTCTGCCTTGTACTCATCTTCGCTCAGTAGGTTCCCGTTTAGCACCGTGTATTACTGATCTCGTCTTCCCATCTGCAGTTGGACGGAGCGCACAACACCTCATCTCATCCATCATCTTCGCTGGCTTGACAGCCGGAGTGGTAGCCTTGGTGAAAGCGAATGGGAAGCAGCTCTGCTCTAGACCCCGATTATGCGGTCTGATCTAGTTGGCGGCCCCTTTTCTCTTGTCCGGTTCTCAGAGCTTTGTTGTTGGAATCTGAATGGATATGAAGTGTTGACAGCAAGCTACCTGTCCACTGTCAGCGTAGATAGATTAACCAAGGGAGAGGTCAGCTTGCTGGTCCGGTAAATCTGAAGTAAATTTTGTAAACACCTGGTTAGATTGTCTGGTTTCCTGGTAAATATAGTGGATTGTGCAGTCGGAGGCACACCGTCTTGTAGTACTGTAAACTAAGGTTAAATTGTAACACTGGATTGGATTCTGCTGCACAGTTTCTGTATCTTAAACTTGTGAAATTGTTTGCACAGAATTTAAAATTACTGAATTCGACAGGCATACTCCAGAGTGAGAAGTTGGCTCTTGTATAATGCCAGCTTAACCCAGGACAGACAGCGGTAAGTTGTCCGGCTCGTTGGTGGCAACTGCATGCGTGGGTCCTGAACACCTCCGCCTGGGTCGTGGTCTTTCAGAAGGCCCCGTGCACATGTTGTTTCCTTGGATCAAGATCGATTCTCTTGAGGCCGTTTTGCCTGCACATGTTTTTCTTTTTTCTTTTCCAATTAGCACATGTGTTCTATCTATTCCTATGTTGTCAAGGCAATTTCTTCTGTGGCTTCCGTGGGTAGTTTCAGCTAGATCGTCCCGAACTCCCAGATGCCTATAGCCAGAACATATATGGTTCGAAAAAGGAAGAAAAAAAATGACAGGCGTATGCTGCCCAAAAATAAGCGCTTCCAAGATATTGGTGGCACGCCACAGTTCAAGGTGGCCAACCAAACGTTGGTGGCCAGAAAGAAAAAGACCGTCTCTGTTTTGCTCTCTTTGCTGGCTGCTATCCACATTGGGGTCTCGAATTCACCTTGGATTTCGTAGCGTAGAACAAAGGCTCCGTCCGTCCGTCAAGCATCCTCTGTCGCAGGTGAATTGGCTCTAAATGTCTCCGCCTGTTCCGCTGGATTCCGGCTACCAGATAAGGCGGCGTGGCATGTTGAAATTTATTTGATCTCCTCTCTGTTGTCTGTTGTACTGGCTTAACATGAAGTTTCCAACGCAGGATGATCTAATAGCTGTTAGTTCTTGGTAGCATCGATCACATCAAGAAGGATTCAAAGGAAAAAAGTGCAATTGAAATAAAGTTTCACCACACGAAACCTAAGCGAGAAGCCGATGGCAAGCACTGATGATCCGAAGAACAAGCCGTCGTCCCCTTGGTCCATTTTTAATTGGAATAACAAAGCAGGTAAGGTTAAGGGGGTCTCCTGCATCCAATT